AAAGGTGACTTGTTGTTCAAAATTGGAGTAGGCAAACGATTGATCAGAAAAGCAGCATGGAGCACAAAGTCACTCCAGTAGGACAATGGTAGCCCTGATTGGAACTTAAGAGCCCTAGCAACATTAAGGAGATGTTGATGCTTCCTTTCAACCCTCCCATTCTGCTGGGGTGTATAAGCAACACTCATCTGGTGTTCAATCCCATGTGATTTGTAAAATTCATCCATATGAAACTCTTGTCCCTGATCTGATCTAATAATCTAGACTGATTTGTGAAAATGGTTTTGAACCATAACACAAAAAGATTGCAATAAACTTCTGGTTTCATCATTAGATTTCATTAAATAGGTCCACACACATCTACTGCAATCATCTACGATTGTCAAGAAATAGCTAGAATCATTGTAAGATTGAATACTCAAAGGTCCCCAAATATCCACATGTAACGGACCAAACAAAGAGGGATTAACAGAGGAACTGGAAGGGAAATGCAATCTTTCTGTTTTGCCAAGTGACAAACATTACAATGAATAATCTGTGAGGGAATGACATTTGGAAACTGTTTGTGTATAGCTTCTATTCTAGCTATGTAAGGGTAACCAAGTCTGGCATGCCAAAGATCAAAATTCTGAGGTTGAAAGTTGAGATGTGTTGTGGCTAAGCACTTAGGTAGGGAACTGATAGTGTCCTGCTTGTGATTGAACAGATAGAGACCCTTATCGATCTGGGCTAAACCAATCCTCCTCTGTGTAATAAGGTCTTGTATAACACAGAAAGAGGATTTGAACAAGAGTGAGACAAGGTTGTTTTGGTAAGTTTGCTGACGGAAACCAAATTGTAAGAAGAACTTGGCACAAACAGGACTTGGGAAAGAAACAAGTCACAAGTTTGACTACTCCTATGTGTGTGGCCTGGACTCTATTTTCATTAGGTAAGTTGACATAAATCCCTTCCAAGGGTTTATATTTCATAAAATACTTCAAATGACAGACTATGTGATATGTTGCCCCAATATCAAGTACCCATAGTGGTTCTGCAGTATTGGCTAAGAGTGTAGACAAGACTGTAGTACCTGAGCTGAAGGTAATTCAACTGTCTGGTACTGAGTGACAACAGCATTGGTAGAATGTCTGATTGATGGTGATGTTGGTGGATAAGGTGATGGAGATCCCAGCAAAAACATCCTCAGCTTTTTCAGCTATTCATTGCTCAACTGCAAGCTTGCCAATCCACCATTCTTGGCTTGCAAGTTCGAGCTTCTTTTCACTGAAGCAGAAGCAGCTAGGACTCCATGTGAACCTTCTGGTTCATTTCTTGTTTCAACTGAACCAGCAAAGCCCCCTCATCCAGCTTCTCTTGCTTTCTTGTTCTTCAACTTAAGACATTCAAACACAGTATGGTAGTCCTTTTTGCAATACCTGTAGAACTTCTTTCCATTCTTAAAGTCTCTATCACTGGTTTGTGGGTGTTGAGAACCCTGATTGTTGTGGTTTGATGCTGCTGCAAGTGCCACTGTGTCAACTCCCCTACTCTTGTTGACACATTTCATCTGCCTTTCAAGCTGAAGAATCTGCTTGAACACAATATCAATGCTAGGCAGAACATGATTCATCAACACTTGGGTTCTCGCAAACTGATATGACTCATTAAGCCCTTGCATAAAGTTGATAATGAAGTCATTATTTTGGTATATATTCAGCACTTCATAAGGGCTAGTACAAGCACAGCTAGGTATGGGTTTGTACCTTTTATATTCGTCCCACAACACAGTGATATCAGTAAAGTATTGAGTGATTGGTTCTCACCCAGAACACATTTACCCAGTTGCTCATTAAGATCATAAACCCTCATATTATCTTCCTGGCTAAAACGATTATTCAAGTTATCCCATACATCCTTAGCATTCTCTAACCTCATCACACTATTCGTTATGTCTTCTGCTAAAGCATTGTAGATCTAACAGCGAATAGTTCCATTGCATCGAAGCCAGGATTGGTAAATGGGATCTGTTACCTGAGGGGCTGGAATCTGACCATCTATGAACGGGATTTTGTTCTTAGTAGCAAGAGCAACCAGCATGGCTTGACTCCAGTTATGGTAGTTTCCATCGCCCAGTTTGATGGAAATGATCGTAGACAGGGCGTCGTCTTGTGGTGGTAAGTAGTAAGGATTTAGGTATGGGTCTTCATACTGGGGAAAGTTTGCTAGAGTAGATTTCCCGGCGTTCTCAGAGTCAGATCTAGATTTGGTTTTGTCATCGCCAGATCCAGTGGCCATCGTCTTTGGTTAGGGTAAGAAAGGGGAAAGGGAAAAAGGAGTAGGAATAACAATCAGAGAAAGAACTGTAAGAGGATGAAGGATAGGAAGATGAAAGGAGGGACTGAAACCCTAGTAGTGAGAGCAATCAGGCTCTGATACCATGAGAAGAATAAGATTTTCTGGGGAAAATGCTCGTTAGAGCTTTCCATTGATGCTGGAGCAGCTTATATACATTCAACTAATTACACTTAACGCTAACTACAACTAACAAATGAAATAAACCTATAAGAGCTATACACGTGTAAACTATACAGTAAAACCATATCAGTGGCTATTAGCCAAAACGGTGCACTTCACTTTGTTCTGTCTCTTTGCAAACGTCACAGTATGAGGCTCTGCATCCTTCTTCTGTTCTTCGTTCTTCATCAGTAGCAGAGCCTCCATTCTTCTTGACAGCAAGGCTGCAAGATGAATCATCCATCCTCTCTGTTACCCACCGTGAGCATAAAAATCGCAGAATATAATGGAGTAAACTCTTGAACCAATTTATTGTATTGATGAAAATTATTTAAGAATACAACTCTACACAGGGTAAAATACCTCGGGTACCACTAAAGTATGAGAATTGGGGGAGGTATACCACTTAGGTAAGAATAGAGCATCGCGTGCCACTGAACTCTATAATATGTGGACCTGATACCACTTAAGTTTACTGTCAAGTGCATTATGTTAAAGTTGACAGAATATTGTTGGAATATTCCATTTTCTAAATTTCAGAATTGGTTCTTCTACTTTTTGTTATTGTAAAAAATCTTTCGAACTTATGAAAAACATTATTTTTTTATTTTTTAGTTGGAATAATCTTTTGAAAACTTTGTTTATACCAAACCAATTTTTGAATAATAAATTTAGAATCAATTATGATTATAAGTATTTTTTATGAATAATTATCATTATAAGTATTTTTAATTATATATTCTAGTATATTTATTAGTGGTGCTTCTAATTGTATTGGCGGTTTACATAGAACTTATAATATTGATTTTATATATTTATTATTCCTTCTTGATATTCGTTTATTTACTAATTTATCTATTTTGTTGAAAAAATATCATTAGTCATTCAAGTAATATTATGTTTAGAAGATTTTCTAATTTTTATCTTAGATAATACTTGTCGAAATATAGTTTTGAATGTTTTTAAGAGTTTGGGTACCAAAAAGTAATTAAAGTTTTGGGTTGGATGAAAAACTAGATGGATACACCTTTTGACGACTTTAATGGTACCCGACACCCTATTCGAACGTAAATGATATGTCTACCTAAATTCTCAAACTTAGGTACTACCAAGGTATTTTACCCACTCTACACACCCTGTAACTTTCTCTAGGATGTTCTAATAAGTTAGGAATATAATTAGGACGGCTTCCATCACTTCATCACATGCGGACAAAACTGTGATTACTATGTCATCTTACAGCTTAATTATTGTTCCAAAGTGGAAAACTAAGACCCGGCTGCTATGCTACTACAAGACACAAAACAAAAGTCATGGTCCAGCCAGCCAAAGAGATGCATTGCCCACAACAGAGCTATCAATATCTCTTTAAATATGCCATTGCCATTGCCATTGAGAGATGTACATAACAATCAAATAGGACCTCCACTCCACTGCAGCCATCACAAAACAGAGTACAGACCAAAAACCCATCGCCATGGCCGATCAAGGAGAAGTGAAGCTGCTGAAGACATGGTCGAGCCTGTTCGGTCTGCGGGTCGTTTGGGCGCTGAAGCTCAAGGGCATACCCTACGAATCCGTCGATGAAGACCTCACCAACAAGAGCGATTTGCTTCTGCAGTACAACCCTGTCCACACGAAGGTCCCTGTCCTCATTCACAACGGCAAGTCCATCTGCGAGTCGCTCGTGATTCTCGAGTACATCGACGAGACTTGGAGCCAGAACCCGCCTAGGTTGCTGCCTCGGGATCCCATCCAGCGCGCCTCAGCTCGCTTCTGGGCCAAATTCATGGACGAGAAGGTATGTACGATCTACGATTACGGGTTAGTTATTGGGATTCGATCGATGAGAACCAAATTTGAGCTGCCCATTTCATGTTTTAGTAAATCTCGAGTTATTGGAATTGTTGATGGCGCAGGCGCTTCCATCGATGTGGCAAGCCTTCACAAAGGAAGGGAGGGAGCAAGAGGAAGGAGTGGCTTCGATTGCAGAGAACCTCAAGTTGCTGGAGGCAGAGTTGGAAGGCAAGAAATTCTTGGGCGGGGAAGAGATCGGAATTCCTGACTTCGCATTGGGCTGGCTGGTCAACTTGGTGCCGGTCTTCGAAGAGATCCTCGGCCTCAAAATCGTGGACGAGGAACGTCATCCGTCTTTGTCGGAATGGAGTCGAAGGATTTCGGATATCCCTGTGATTGAAGAAAGCTGGCCGCCCCGTGACAAGCTCGTCACTAAATGGGCGGCTATTCGCGACCATTTCCTTGCAACGGCGAGGGCGTCGTCTGGTTAATGAATGGGGAACTGGAAGTCTTGGATGATCGTCGGGAGGGACTGCTGCACTATGGTTTGAATCTAGGCTTTGCATAAACAACACATGCATGTTGATTCTATCTATTGGGGAAGAAGTAAACTTTAGGCTGGGGATTCTGGGCTTTTTGTGGTTTCTTACACGAAATACAGCGTGTCCCGTTTAAATGTTAGATGACTAGCACATTTCATATGAAAATTAGACAGACTTATAACTCCGTCATTTCATCCTTTGATACGAATAATACTTTCATCGACAATGGTGCATTGTGTCAACCTCACCAAATAATAATATACATCCCCCATTCCATTTCCTTTTGAGCTATATAAAGTTTCTATTGATGAAAGAACAAGTTATCCCCCCCTAAAGATCGCAGTGACGTAGAAAGAATTACAATGGTTACACTCACATTCCAGGCAAAAAATCGGGCATCCAGTAACGCTGCACTTTTACTCTTTCAGCCAATGTTCTTCCCAATTGCCGTAATTTCTTTTCTAAGCACATGTCCAGTGAACTGTGTGAACACAACTTGGAAGAAAGAAAGAACACTCAACTCATATCATATCTTTCCCTGGAGGATATCCAATCTGCAACCCTCCACTTCCTTTGAGATGCTGTTAAAAAGTTTTTACCTTTACTCTGTTCCAAACCCCCCTCTCTCTCTCTCTCTCTCTACAGGTATTGAGATTGTATTCTATCCCTGTTCTCCTCCCACCATGACTTAGCATGCACTTCCCCAAATCTTTCTCGACTGCAGACAAGAGGAAAAGACATCAATGTGAAGCATCAGGGTTTGCTATACTTGTCGGGAAATTTGAAATGGAAAACCAAAAAACAGTTATTGACCGTTAAATTTCATACCTGAACCGAACCCGCCGGAGCTCCCTGGTACCATCCGCGAGTTGTCTGATGGTAATGTACACTCCAGGCTCGTCTTGCTCGACCCACTCCGCCTCCAAATCGCTGGCATTGCTCACCGAGATGGACGGCTCGTCTTGCGAAGAGGTTGTGGTTCTCGAGGCTTCCATCGAGGAAGCCTCGCCTCTCGGGCCGCCTCCCAGACCGTAACCGGGAGGGTAATGGTGGCTGCTGCCCTGTTCCATCATCCCAGGAGATGGCCTGTAGTAGTTCCTTGGCGCCATGGGGCTTTCCCTTGCAGAGCCTAATCTCGAATAAGTAGAATCTCTATGCTGAAATTGGGGGAGGAAAAACAGTGAGGAACAACCATTCGGTTCAGACGAGATCAGAGTGGGGCAGACTTTACCTCATCTTGAGACCTTGGAGGAGTGTTGAGAGACTGGCGGTTGTTGAATCTCTGCACATTGTAAAGCTCCATGATCCTGTCGTAGTTCTCGCCCCACCAACTCTGCGCTTGCCACTTGTTGAACATCTCCCGGCTTCAAAAACACAACTCAAAACAAACCCCTAATCAATGTCAGCTTCTGCAACAACAACAACAACAACAGCAAAACAGAGCAACCCTGAGTTGTAGAGAGAGCTATAAATTAACACACACTTGAACCGAATCCGTTTGAGATCATTGCCCCCATTGGGGAGGGAAGCGAAGGTAATGTGGACGCCGGGTTCAACCTGAGCCATCCATTCCTTGGGCTCATCGTCGATCACCACATCGCATGAATCCCCTGAAGCGAATCTGGTGTCGCTTCTCCCTCCGCCGCCGCCGCGGCCAGGAAAGTCCCATGCCGGCGTGGAACTGGAGCTTGCCGCGCCACCGAAGTAAGGATATGGAACGCCTCCTTCCGAGGCTGCATCCAAGTCAGGGTAAGGGCGGTGGTGTCCTTTCTTGTAGTTGCTGCTGGATGATCCTCCTGTGCAGGGCTTGCATTGCTTGTATGTGCCTGATAACTTCAGTGCCATGTCCTTGATCTGAAAAGAATCAAACTAGAGCATTAGAGGAAAGTCTCGAATTTCTTTTCATTTAGTAGTATGCCAATGTATTAACACATTTAACTTTAAGAGGGTCTCAGTCAACAAAACTGTGTCTAATTACTGATTACACCTGAGTTTAGTCGAATAATCAGCAACAAAGCTATGTTTAGCCGTTTAGTTCTAATGAGTTTGCATCATTTCAACTCGTTTGTCTATACTCTATAGTTCTAAGAGGATTTAGAGCAATGAAAATAATGAGGAATTACAGAGAAATAAAAGTTGATTTAAACCAAAGTAATCATGTGGAAGATGCTTATGTTTCAAACATATAACTTTAGAATGATCTGAAAAATAAGATAAGAGAATCAGATAAAAATCAATCAAATTAGAATACACATAATAATACGCTTCACTTCACTGAAGACGGAATCACACAATTGAGATGTCGTCATTACCTTATTCCTGTTGCATTGATCTATTACAAACATATCATACAATCTTTCTTGAGGTGGGAAAGCATGAGAGGGAAAAGGGAAAGGCCAAAACATGATCAAGCAAACCCACAACATTGGATTGGAAAAACATGAGTCAACAAAAGACAATTCTGGTCCTCTTCCAACACAAAACCAACCTTTCCGTGTTTATGCTTTTTTCAATTCTTGCCTACACTAACAACTATGGGGAAGAAAAGCAAAGTCCCTTCCCTACCTTCATTTCACATCCCAATAATATCATATGATATGTTTCTTTGGAATGTAAAAAGAAAAAAAGAATGGATCAGACAGACAGGAATTCTATATGGTGGGTCATAACAACAAGGATGATTAATATTATTATTATTATGGCATCTTTTTCTTTCCTTCATTAACAAACCAAGCCACCATCATCTTTATAAAGCCACAACCCTTCCAAGGCAAATTCCTTTTTCTTGTCTGATGAAATGAGATGCTGTTGTTGCTGAGTATTTCCTTTTTCCCTCTTTTGAACAAATCATGTACCTTAAAACAACACTTAACCAAGATATACCCATATTGGTTTCAGACCCACCTCATTAGGCATTATATTAGAGGAAATATAAGGAACCAAATTCTCCATTGTGGTGCTCCAGCCATATCGGTTTCTTATTCTTTTATCTATAGTGGGGAGTTAGTATTTATTAGTACAGAAGACGAAGTAAAGGACTTGGAAACCCTCCTCCACCCAGGAATCCTGGGAAATCATTTTGGCCTCCAAATTCACTACAGGACACCCAATGAATCAAACCCTCTTGTTTTCTTGTCTCCCTCAACAACATCCTCGTGTTGTTTTGTTGTCTGCCAATGACCGTTTTTATTGGTTTTTCAAATTGTAACGTTATGGGAGTATCTAAAAACCGGTTAACTAAAAGATCCAAGTTAGATCGCATTTCTTGCACCAAACAACCTAACAAGGACAGTATCTAAAAGCCTAGTTTTCCCGATTGATGTTATCTCAAATTCTCAATCCCAGTTTCACAAAAGAAAACAAAAGGAAACATGAGAAAGGAATAAGAGGGTACACTGAGGGGGAGGGGGGCGGGAATCAAAACAAGAAACAAAAAGAAACACAAAAGCAAGAGAGTGAGACAGAGGCCACTTTGCTTTTCTAGACCAGGAAGGATCACACACACACACACACAAAGGAAAAAAGCAATGTGAGAAAGAAAAGGATATCAATACAAAACTCCAGCAGCAGCAGAGGCAACAATAACTGCTGGCCAGTGATTGGTTGGAAAGAAGGGAAGGGAAGAGAAAGAAAGCGAACTAGCAGCAGCAGAGGAGAGCAAAAGAACACTAGAAAACAGAGCATTGAAGCAAGTAAGGAAGGAAAGGAGCTAAGTAAGGGCAGCCCCAGTTAGCAATTGACATGTAAACGTGAAAGATGCCAAAAAAGAAAGAGGTGCCCCCCTAATTAAGGCATATTTGCACTCCTTGGTCCCTACCACCACCTCTTTCTTTGGGCCCCACCATATCAAATTTGCAACATTGCATACCAAGGCTCCAATCTTTAGGCATCAAAGCTATTGAGGGATGATCTTGTTGAGTAGTTGTGCATAATTTCAATGGTGGGGTTGAATGTAGTGATACCAATAACATTATTGGGTCAATCTATCTATGGAGACTAGTTGAGCACATTCGGATCATGTCGAGCACATTGAAATTTTAGAAGAAGGGAACAAGAACCAAAGCAACCAACAAGGAAAAGAAACTCTTTGAAAACGAAATGCACAGAGACAGAGTATTAAATGGAGGAGTGAAAAAAAGGGAAAGGAAGGGATGGACCTGATTCGTCAGGCTTTTGACGGCTTCTTTAGTATTGGGAGTATCACTCCCTCCACGCGCCGACGCTACTCCGCCGCCGACCTCCTCCCCTTCGTCATCCGCCGACGGCTTCGTGCACGCTATGCACGACAACATCTTAGACCCTCTGTTCTCCTTCTTCCTTCACTATCTACTTCTCTGTTTTCCTCTGCTTCACTGATCAATCACTCCCCTGAGGAAACGGGAAAAGGAAGAGGCTTTAGAAAGGAAATAAAAGCCAACAGCAGCTGCGAACCTGAAATTTCCCACTCAGTGACTAGGATTCTCGGTTTACTCAGCAACCAAACACAAACAGCAGATTTCAGCGAACGAAAAATAATAAAAGACAAAGAACAGAGTATTGACAAAGACCCCAGTCATTAAAATTAAGGAAAGATAGAAAATTTGGATTCCCATTCCCCCCTAAATCCCTCTCCCCATTCCTCATTTCTCCCCTACCAAACTGGGAAACCTATGAGCTGAAAAAGAGAAGGGAAGATACAGAAGAAACGGTACAAAATAAGAGGGGGTGGAAGCTTGTAATGATGATAGATGATATGATAAAGGGAAAAAACATTGATTACCTTCTGGACCAGATGGGCTTCTAATTCTAGGTGTAAGGGAATGATTTAGAAGAAGAGTTTGGAAGGACTGGCAATGGAATGAAGGAGGAGAAGAATGGAGCAGAAATGAAGATGTAGTTGGGAGGCTCTCTCTATTGGGGGGTTTTGGGAATGGAGTTAGAAGAGAAGAGGGGTTAAATTAATGAGTATCATTTCCTTTATTGTGCTGACTAGGCTGCTGAGCTGCCCAGTTGGCCTCCATAGACAAGACAACTTCTTCCTCCTTCCCCTCTCTTTCTTCCCCATTTGCTTTGCTTTTATTCCTCTCTCTCCACTGCCTTTTTCTTTTCTATTGTGTGTTGAACTTTTTTTTTTTCTTCTTCTTCTTGTTAGTGAGGAGAGGTTAGTTGTATGCGTTTCACTTTTTTGCCCCTGTTCATCACGTAATATTGCAGTGACTGTCAGTGTCATTGTCAAATTTTCGCCAGGATTCAGTAGCCATAATTTGTCTATAAGGTGGATATTACTTCAGCCATTTTGGATACGAGTTAGTATCTGCTAACAAAATGGCTTGTTAGCATTTTAACTTTTGCGCCCCAAACCAAGGGTACCCTTTTTTCCTCCATTTCCTTTTTTCTTTCCTTCATCAGTTTGCTATCCACTTCTCTCTCTTGTTCAATGCCTACGCAAAACAATATTCAAATTTGCTAAATTGACATTGAGGGATGGTTTGGTTTTTGTGATTATTTGATTGGGATAGTTACAATGTATTATTTTTTTAACTTACTGTACAAACAATACATGTAGAGGTCGTTTGGATAAGGGATTGGAATATTGAAGGATTTGAACCTAAATTCCTCAATTAAAAATCCAGAGCATTAAAACGCAGGATTTAAATAAAATACTTGTTTGTTTAACTGTCCAGAATTGTCATCAAAGAATTTAAGTTTTAGTTACAAATATATAATTACAGTTTTGTCCTTTTCCTTATTTTACTCACAGACCCAACATAATCCCTAACCCCTTCTATGTCGTACTCGTCTTCTTCCTCCCTTTGTTGAAATCGCCGACCATGTAATCGACGGCGGCAACCAGCATCCCAAACAGGTCTAGGGTCGTCGAGCTTTGCCAGCGATTGGTTCCTTGAAGTTGATGCGATTGTTCGACGAATTTTGAAGCATAACCATTCGAGAAGCTCTTGCTACCTGATGGAACTAAATCCCATAACCTTCGAGATGCATAGCAACCAAGTGCGACGAGGAAGAAATCCAATCCTTGAACCCTTCAATCCCGAATTGACGAATAAGAACCCAAAACCCAGAATCAAATCGACGAATGAGAACACCCAAACCTAAAATCTGAGCTCCCACCCGGCTCAACGCTTGTTTCTTTACAGATCCGAGCCTTCTCTGACGAAAACCTCGTTTCTTTCCAGATTCATTGATGACGGAAGAAACTTTGGCGAGGCCGAGTCTGGCGAGGTTGAGGAGGCCGAAGAAAAAAGGACGAAAGAGAAGGAGGAGTGGAGGGAAGAGTGGGAATAAGAGAAGGGCAAGGCAGAATCAGATCGAGAGTTGGAAGAGAATAGGCAAGGACACGATCGGCATAGAATAAAAGTTGGGCCGGATTTCAAAATACCTGGGAGAGGCCAGTTATTTCCAATTCCGGGATGGGTCGGATTTCCAAAACCTGCATAACCAAATCTCGCATTATTGGGCACAGACCCAAACAACATAATTTGTTAAAATCCGGGACGAGCCGGGTTTTGGCCCAAATCCCTGTCCAGAAATCTGGATCCAAACGACCCCGTATTGTTTGTTTGATGTGATGGAAACTATCACTCAAAATGATTGATAGTACTATCTCTACTAAAACTTGAGATTGTTTTGAGGAGAATGTTTGGTTCCCTTTTTGTTCCAAGTATACCCCTAGTTATATATATATATATATATATGGTGGCTTCTATGGTACCCCGGGTGAAATCCGGGGTACCGCATAGCTCGAGTATGTAAACTCTATCTAGACCTCGAATTACCAGGATTTTTGTGTCTGATATTATACCCTAACCCTTAATGAGTGAACCGTAGGTCATAATTATCTAAATCATAATCTATAAACCCTAAGATGGTGCATTTCTTTTTGTGCCTATATTTGGATGAATCATAACCGTCGATTATTGTTTCTAATTAAATTGATCTTGGATTATAAGATTGGGAGAGTTAACACATAGATTTTGATCTTTAAGTGTTAGAGTATAGTATCATATCCGAAAGATCGGTCAATTCAAGGTCTAGATAGTGTTTTCATACTCAATGTATGCGGTACCCCGGATGTCACCCAGGGTACCGTAGAACTCGCCATATATATATATATATATATGGTCTCATAAAAGCAAGGGCAAGTGATATTTCTCACAAAAAGTAATATAACATGTTGAATACTAAAAGAACTATCACCAAAACCAAACAATGTAAAGTATATTACATCATTTTCATAAATTGCATGTATATTACAATACATGCATTGACCACAATGCATTGATTTAAGTATCACCAAAACCAAACGACCCCTGAGATTATATATCATTACACAATGTAATCGAGTTAAGCGAATTAGACAATGAAAATGTAACCTTCGCTATAGGTGTGAGATGTTGAATTGAAGCCACCACTAATGGAACATTCTTAGCTCCAATCTTGGTTGGATGCACAAACTCCAACCAGCTACATGTCAGTTTCCTATTAGTGAGTTCATTTTACCTTTTTATATTTTAATTATTGATTTATTTTGCATTATTGACAACATTAAATATTAAGAAAAAATTATTGATTTATTTTGCATTATTGACAACATTAAATATTAAGAAAAAAGAAATGTGAGTCCGCCAATAACAAACTGACATGTAGCTGGTTGGAACTTGTGAGTCCAATCAAAGTTGGAGCTAAGAATTTTCGGCCATTAAATGATAGAGATGATGAAGTAGTTAAACATATTAGGATTTTTTGATAAAGGATATGAAGAATTGAAGAATATATTTGGAGAACAAAAGGAATAAGAATATAAGATTGACCATAATTCAAGTTTAGTTATTGTATTATCGCTTTTATATTTGTATTTATTTTATATGAAATTCCTCTCAATAATTCAAATTATTGAGACCACTAAAAGTTTAGCAAGTTCCCAAAATACTTGACAGGAATAAAAAGTAACCAGATGAACTTACATCTTTAATAATTGCATATCTTAATTCCTTACGAGCTAGTTGGATCATATCTTAATTCCTTTCGAGCTAGTAGAAAGTTTGATACAAGTTGTGAGTATGAAATTAAGCACAATGTGATTAACCTTAAAGTTGATTAAAATTTACCCAAATAAAGTACACGACCATATATATTTGCGATGAATAAATGATACCATAAGGCTACGGGGAAAAAAGATGCAATAAATTAAGGCGTTTGCATAATTAAAAAAAAATTTACAAACAAAAGGACATATATGTCGTATTGTCACAAATCAAAGGTTTTCTTTTTGTACTGCCTATCAATGGCCAAATCAAGCTATTTTGAGATTCCCAAGTCCATTTTGTAATCCCGAATCGCCATTGATTGCCTCAATCAGCTGGAATCTTATTGGATTTGCAAAATCCAACGAGCTACCTCGATTCTGTCAACAGAACATTACACCACCACGCTTGGTGATAAACTATTTTCTTAATCCTCCTAATATTATGATTACTTTATTAAGTGGTCATTTGGATTTTTAATTGAACTTGCTATTGAATAGGGTTTTTCCCAGAGTAATGACAAGATAAAATATTTATAATCCTCTACCCTTATTCCCCAGGCAAGACCTAGTGAAACCACCTTACAAAATTAAAGAAAGTTATATCTACAAAGGGGTTTACTAGACAAGGAAAGTTCGTCGTGAAATTGAAACCTAATATTTAGATTAGAAATTATGAATGCACGTGCAATTTGTTTTTGCCCCTTCTCCCCTACAATTAGGGTTGAGCAGAATATGTGGTTCTTATACACAATGTCCATGCTAGATTTTTGTATGTTAAACTCAAGAGGGGCACTTACATATTTCCCAATCTTTTAGAGTAGCTTGTATCGACTTTGTGTACTATATACTTATACAGGAGAGAATAGTATATATGCGCTTGATCGCATTCCATATCAGCCTAGCATTATCTCCTGTCAACAAGGACATTGTTATGTATTGGAAGATGACACTATAAGTTTGTTGCATACTTCTGATAATTAGTACACTAGCTATTTTGGTATACATAATTAATCACTTATCAACTTAGATACTTAAGACATATAATCGTCAAAATGTGAATTTTACTCCACGTAAAACCATTCAAAGGATGATATCATGAATGCTCAAGATTTTCATAGCAATCTTCTCACGCCTAGATTAATTGATCGAGGCCCTTATAGAAAAAGGGAGGGGGGAGGGGAGAAACACGTACAGTCAAATTGATTAATGCGAAATACAATACCTCAAGGCTCAAACACACAATTTCTTGTTTTGTTTGATATATTCCATGCAAATTCTCTCGATATTTTTTTAAGAAGTCATTTCCTCATGTCTTACTTTTTCTTTTTTGGCCATCTTCTCTTCTCTTGTTTTGGACCAGGTTGAAAGCCAAAAGGATGTAAAATTGGGAGAAGGGGGAAAAAGAACAAACAAAGTGGGGTTAAAGGGACTCGGGAAGGGAGAGGCAACTCGGGATCAGAGAAGATATCATAGAAAGATGTAAAAGGTAAATCAATATTATGGGCTAATTGTGGTCGGGGAACAACATTATACTAATACTAATTAAAGTTATATTGTGATTACTGTTGCATAACAGTTTTGGTATTCTACACTACTGTCACCATCTTTAGCTCACCCGCATGAATGATGGAGGACAATTAGATTAGCATAAAATGCACCCCAGAATCACTGTCCAATTTAATAGTAACTAGTTTTTTAGCCCGCGCTTCGCGGCGGTAAAATATTAACTACATTTAAAATTTCATCTCTTTATTTAATGGTTTAGTTGAAATGAAATATTTCACAA